TGTGAGATTGAGCCCCACGCTGGATTGACAGCACAGTCTGCTTAGAATTCTCTCTCTCTCTGCCCATCCTCTGCTCGTGCTCTTTCTTTCTCTCTCAAAATAAATAAATAAATAAACAAACCAACAAAAAAAGAATGTTAAGGTCAGGTGGTTATTATCATAACTACCTTAATTGCAAGTTTTATTATCATTATCTAATAAGATTTTTACATGAAGGAAAAAAACCAAAAAAGCAGGTCCTTCTAACTCCAAAGTCCATGTTCTTGACCACTAAAATATCTTCTTCCCGGATCCAAGTCAATATGTGCTTTTGGTACAGTTTCTAATTAAAAAAAACATATGACTTGTCCCCGCTATATTTTCACTTAATGCAAGAGTAGAAACAGTATGAAATAGAGGTAAGAGTACAGAATAAAGGTGAAAAGACTTTGGGTCTACTTCTAGCTAGCTATGACTTTGCTAAGTCATGTAAATTCCTTAGCTTACTCTTTTCTCACCTGTAAAATTCCTTCACAGGATTGACAGCAAAATAAGAGAAGAAAATACACATGAAAGTATTTGAAAATATTTAGGAATTAAAGACATCATTATAGCACATACTGTGTAAAATACATTATGCTTTATTTCAAAAAGGCATTTTAGATAATATAAGGCATGCAGGTAGATTCTGGAAAATAACTTGCCATTAAAAATAGAAAATTTTAAAAAACAAAAATTTTAGTTTACTTTTTAATTTTTCTTAGACTACCTTTGATTTTAATGTGTAGGACACTACATAAGATATCACGGTAATTATTTTTACTCCCTTAATGATTTAAAGTGACTAACAAAACTCCTTAATGGTTCAGAAGTACAGTGGTATATTCTCGATATGATAAGCTTATTTTCTTCTTTTCAGATATATATATTTTTTACTCCAGATAGTTTTTGCATCATATTATCTCAGCCTTGAAATTAATATGAATTTTGTTTCCTCTTCATATTTTTTTATCATGATTTCTTAGGTCTATAGACTTCATATATAAATTATACTATAGAGTATATTCTAACACACCAGACATGCTAGAAGCCAGAAAGTATAGAAAAGAATGATGTAAAACTACTATAAGAGTGCTTTCTGTTGCCATTAACAGTGAATGTATCTATTAAACAAATGAACTTCTTTTTTAGGCTAAACTGGCATTATATTCAAAGCTCCTACACAAGTGTGAAACTGATAACTATTTTATATATTTCATCCTACTTGTATGCAAGCATGCTTACAAAATGATGAAAATGCTTACTTACTCGTATACCTTTAGGACCTGGATTACCTTCTGGTCCAGCTACACCCTAGTGTGAACAAAAGACATCATCATCATACTACAGTATTTTGAAAGCATTGTTGATAAATAAAATGAAATGGGTACATAAAGAGGTATCATTTTTCACAAGTATAAAATTCAGAACTAGGTATACTTAATGAAGACTATATATGGTCAAGAAGTTTTAGCATTTCAGAACCAAAAGAGGTTCTGATATATATATATATAATATATATATTTAGAGGCACTATATATGTGTGTATATATATATATATATATGTTTTTAGACAGCCAAACAAGGTAGATTAACACACATTATAAGATATAAAAAATAAATTTTAATTAAATTATTTCTCATTGGAAAATTGTCTTCTTTTAAAACACTTCTAGTTAAAATATCTAAAATATATTCCCATAATTTAAAAAAATACATTTTAACTTCAGATCAATGTCCATATACTTGAACATTTATATTTTATGTTTCAGATAACATAAATCATCACTCGGTGGTAAGACTGTAATATACAATACCTTCCATGTATTTTTAAAGGCCCAAAATGTGGAATTTTGTTAACTATAGATTACTTTTTGGCATTTTCATTTCCCTTATTCTTGAGAATAAAAAAGATATTATAACTATAGTTTTTTAGTATGCTAAATGAATAATCAATTTCAAGAGTAAGCCTTCATGAAAACCTATGAAAGAAAATTTATTCTGTTAGTAGTCTACAAGAAAGAAAGTTATAAATTAGAGGGAAATAAATATGAAATAATTAGAATGAATTTTCAAAACCATATACAAAGACTTGAATTCATTTCAGATAAAAGTGTTTGGTAGTGGTATATATAGCACTATCAAACTCTCAAGTTTTTATAACTCTGCTATTAAAAAATAATACTTGTTATCCAATCTGAACTCTTACCATTACTTCATTTTAGTCAGTGGCAGTATTGTAAAATCAGCCACAGGATTGTTTTAAAATCTTATTAGACTCTTGGGCATTTTAATTTTGAAGGTTCCACTGTATCACATCATACATGTTTAAAAACTCTACTCCAATTTTACACATAACTTTCTACAGTAAGATTCTGGAGGATTTTTATAATTTTGATTTTGAATTATTTTGCCATGAGTAATTCATTATTTGATAAAAGTAAACCAATTATTATTTGAACACTAACTCTGAAAATCAGAAAGTGCAAGGCATTAATACAAAGGAACATAAAAGGAAAAGTATAAATATAGTTACCTCACCTGCCTGCCAGGGTAACCACGTGAACCAATATTACCAGTGAATCCTGGAATTCCCTGAAATAAAAAACAAAATAAATAAAACAATACAACAAAACCAAAAGAAGCCCAAGGAAACAAATTTGGCACAATTATAATATTCAAGTTCAGAAAGAATTTTTTTCGCCACAGAAGGACCAAAGATCCTACACATTGTTTATCTGACTGAAATCACCTACTTGAAATTAAAATGAGCCAAAATAACTAAATAAATGTAAATAAAACTGTTAGATTAGGGCTCTAAATGAGACATTGATTATTAATGATAAATCCAGGATGGAAAATTCCAGCACTACATAAATAAGACACCTATTCTAGAAAGAGTTGGTACATTAATTTCTTTCTTTTATTTTGTTAATAAATATTTATTTGAGAGAGCACAAGCAAGGGAGGGTAAAGAGAGGGGGACAGAGAACTGAAGCAGGCTCTGCACTGACAACAGTGAGCCTGATGTGGGGCTTGAATTCATGAACCATGAGAACATGACCTGACCCAAAGTAGATGCTCAACCAACTGAACCACCCAGATGCCCCAAGAGTTGGTACACTTCTTAATAACCAGTGTCTTTTTATATTGTCTCGTGTCTCAATCATTTTCTTACCTCAACATCTTGCATGTTAAGCATGATGTCCTTAATGTCTGAGCATGAGCCCCAGAAGACTAAAAGGGGCAGTGAACTTCAGAACCAACCTCTTCTTCCTTCCTAAAATAAACTTTTTTTTTATAGCAAGTCTGATTAAGAAATGGATATTGAGTGGTAATTACCTCAATCATGATATATCTCTATCTAAAAATTCAAACAGTGACACTGGAATTGTAAATTCATTTAAATTTTTCTTTTTTGTTTTAGAGAGAGAGAGACAGCATGCGCAAGCAGGGGAAAGGGGCAGAGAGAGAGAGATAGAGAATCTTAAGCAGGCTCCATGCTCAGTGCAGAGCCAACACAGGGCTCAATCCCATGAACCTGATATCATGATCTAAGCTGAAACCAAGAGTCGGATGCTCAACTGATTGAGTCACCCAGGCACCCAAGTAAACTCATTTTTTATTTATTTTTTAAAAAATTATGTATTTGAATTCAAGATAGTTAAAATACCGTGTGGTATTGGTTTCAGGAGTGTAACCCAGTGATTCATCATTTACATATAACACCCAGTGCTCATCCCAACAAATGCCCTCCTTAATGCCCAACACCCATTATGGTTTGCCTCCCTCTCCGATTTTATCTTATTCTTCCTTCCTTTATCCTATATTCATTTGTTTTGTTTCTTAAATTCCACATATGAGTTAAATCATATGATGTTTGTCTTCCTCTGACTGACTTATTTCACTTGCTTAGCATAACACACTCCAGTTCCATCTATGTTGTTGCAAATGGCAAGATTTCACTCTTTTTGACCACTGAGTAATATTTTATTGTGTGTGTGTGTGTGTGTATATATATATATATATATATATATATGAATCTGGATGCAAAAACTCTCAACAAGATACTAGACAACCAAATTCAACAGTACATGAAAAGAATTATTCACCATGATCAAGTGAGATTTATTCCTGGGCTGGAGGGCTAGTTTAATATTTACAAATCAATCAGTGTGATATACCTCATTAATAAAAGAAAGGATAAGAACCATATAATCCTTTCAATAGATGCAGAAAAAGCACTTGACAAAATACAGCATTCTTTCTTGATAAAAACCCTAAAGAAAGTAGGGGTAGAAGGAACATACCTCAACATCATAAAAGGCATATATGAAAGGCCCACAGCTAATGTCATCCTCAATGGGAAAAAACTGAGACTTTCCCCCTAAGGTCAGGAACACGACAGGGATGTCCACTCTCACCACTGTTGTTCAACATAGTACTGGAAGTCCTAGCCTCAGCAATCAGACAACAAAAAGATATAAAACTTTTACTCTTTGCAGATGACATGATACTCTATGTGGAAAACCTGAAACACTCCACCAAAAAACCGCTAGAACTGATATGTGAATTTAGCAAAGTCGCAGGATATAAAATCAACGTACAGAAATTGGTTGCATTTCTATACACCAATACCAAAGCAGCAGAAAAATAAATCAAGGATTTGATCCCATTTACAATTGCACCAAAAATTGGAAGATACCTAGGAATAAACCAAACCAGAGGTAAGATATCTGTATGCTGAAAATTATAGAAAGCTTATGAAAGAAATTGAAGACGATGCAAAGAAATGGAAAAACATTCTATTCTCATGGATTGAAAGAACAAATATTATTAAAATGTCTATAGTACCCAAAGCAACCTACACATTCAATGCAATCCCTATCCGAATAACACCAGCAATCCCTAACAAAATAACACCATAATACTACCCAAAGCAATCTACACATTTAATGCAATCCCTATCCAAATAACACACTAACAAACAAACCTAGTAAATTCATTTTACATTGGCAACTTTGTATTTTTTATTTTCAAACAAGGTTTGCTGAAGGCAGGCTGATATATAGAGAATCAAAGGCATAAGAAAGGAAGCTTCTACAGGCCTAGACCATCAAGAGAGAAGAAATATCTCCATTTGTTTTTACTTTCATTGATACACTATTTATTCATTCATTCATTAGTTTATTCAGAGTCTAGATCTGTTAAATAATTCTTGAGCCAAGGAAATGCCAGAAGCATACATGTTGAACTGCCTTTACCTAACCTCAAATGGTGACAGCAAAGGTAAATTTCATGGATTACTTATTTATTATGTAAAATTCATTTCCTTCTTATTGTTTGTAAAACAGATAAAAGACACTAGCCCTTTGTCCCTCTGCTCCGAAGCACACAGAAGAGTATTACCTCCAGTTTAAGTAGAAAAATACTATAAAATGCTCCCAAATTTGGAAAATCTATAGAAAGAGAAGACCAAGGAAAAGACAAATGGAGGATCATAGGTAAAGTTTTTGCCCTCCCATTCTATTAGATATGAAGGCTTCTTATATGTCTTTATTTCCCCTTTCCTCAGAATCTCTCTCAATTTTGTTCTCATTTTTCTCCCTCCTTTCCTCTTCCTCCAACAATTACCATTTATCGAGCACTTTTTATGTGTCAATCACTATGCCAAGCACTTTACATATATCCTACATCTATGAGATAGATGCTATTTTCTCCATCCTCCATTTGGCATAAGATACAGAGAAGTTATGAAAATTGCCCAAGATGCCACAGTGAGTAAGCAGCAGAGCCTGGATATGAACTGAGACAATCTGACAAAAGTTGTGTCATGCACACACACATACATACACATATCATACATACACATATGTATGTACATGTACATATAGACATTCATCCATATATATGTGGATGGCAATGGACATGGCAATGGACAATTTAACGGAAAGTGAGTGAACAAGTGGATTTCTGAGAATTGCAGAATAAAATTCTTTTTTTTTTTT